ACTGCGGGAACCCTTCCTTCCACCTGTGCCCCCTCATCCTCGTACTTTCCTCCTCCTCCTCCTCCCTTCTCCTTTCACGTCTCTTTCCTGTGTCTTCCTCCTCTGCTCTTCTTCTCATCGTCCTCCTCCCCCCTCTTTTCTCCCTCCCTCCGCCCCCCAATCGTCCTCCCTCTCCTCACCTTCTCCGTCATCTCGCCCTTCTTCTCTCTCTTCCCCGAGGACGTTTTGAGAGCAGCGCGCCCCGCTTTCCGTTTTTTTTTTTTTTTTTTTTGGGGGGGGGGGTTTTTGTTCCTTTCTTATGTATAGATTTTTTTTTGTAAAGAAACTAGAACACACACAATGGGATCTTCAAACGGTGGCATTGTACATTTTTTCCTTGTCGGAGTGCTTTAGGTCCTTAACAATGGTGCTCCCGCTGTGGGCCTCGATTTCGGATCGGTGCTTTGCCCCCGTCGTTCACATTGGCGCTCTCGCCCCAGCGCGGGCCTCTTTTTTGAATCTGAGTCCTTTCTCTTCGTTGTCTCCCCGCTCCTTTCCCTCCTTCCTCCCTTCCTTCCTCCCTTCCTTCCTCCTCCTCCTCGTCCTCCTCCTCCTTCTCCTCCTCCCGCTTCGCCCACTCGTGGCTCCTGCTGCTGCTGTTCCTCTTTGTCCTCCTACTTCCTTATCCTCCTTTTCGTTCTGCTCGTCCTCCAGCTTATCCGCCACTTCCTTCTCCAATGTGCACTGCTCCCTTTTTCAGTTGGTTCGTAACGCGATAAGTGGTCCTTTTGGGGTTCTAGGTCCGCTATGACACTTGTCGACAGACAGAGAAACACAACGCAATGGGAAGGGATTGGGGGGGAGGGGTACGATGTCAGATATGGCTCGATCGCGCCTAGCTGGCCCCTCCCCCTCTCCCCCCGACAAGCAGATTCGGTCCTTTGCCAAGCCTTTGACCCACGTTGTCACCCCACAGGCGAAGCCTCCCTTTCCAGAGTCCATGAAGGTTTGAAGTCTTGCCCAAGGCCGAGATGGCCCAGCCAGGCCGTGGTTAGGTCACACCCGCGCCGACATCGCCACTGCCTCCAATGTTTAAGTTGTATGAGTACATACTCCCACTCTCCACCACAGCCGGCCGGCCCATAGAGGGGCCGTATCTGGGACCCTCCATCCTACGTGTGAAACTGCAATGCGAGGTTGACGGTTTTCGTCTCAACATGGACATCATGTCGTCCATGTTGCAAACTGGGTGGCCTGAATGGGACGGTGCACCCATCCCGCGCGAAAGGCCGAAGTGTCGCTCTCGCTACGGCGCCGCGCGCAGTTCCCCAAGAGATCGAGCTGCCGCCGAGGCGCGGTGCTCATTTTTCGCACGCAGCGTTGTCGACGTGCGAGCGAACGAACATGTAGAACAAAACAAATCCGTCCGACGCAGCGCAGACTTCGCCTGGAGTTGGCGCTCCCGTTTTGACGCGGTGCGCATCTGTCACTCGCACATTTTTTGGGGGGCCCGCGCGGGTGGGCGCATTTCGCTGGGAAGGTCTATCCCAAGCGGGCGCGGCGCATGGCTCGCCCGCCGAATCGCATGACGGCGACAGCGGCAGTTGGGCCGCGCGAGAGCGGGCGAACTGCCGACCTCGCCCGAGCGCCGCGCAGCTCATGCCTGAGAGTGGCAGGGCCGTGCCAGTGCGGCACACGCTGCGTCTTCGCTTGGCCCATCGGAAGTTTTGCCGCCCCCGCCCTCGCGTAGCGCGCTTGGCTTTCCCATCGCCAAGTCGTCGGAAGCGGGACCGCGCGCGAGCGCCTTCCGTCTGCGAGGCGGGGGCGCGTTTCATTCTCAATGTGCCACAGGTGACTCTTATGTAATGGAAGGGTGGGTGGGAATAGGCGGGGCCGTCTGGTTCGCTTGACCTTGGTAGTCCTTGTTGTTTAATCTGTGTGTACCCTTCACCCAGCCAGCCACTGGCAAACCCATCTGGGCGGTCCCATCTCTCGTGCCAGAGAAACACAGCAAAGAAGCCACACAATGTTTGCCAGCCTTAACATGGACATTATGTCGACCATGTTGCAAACTGGGCGGCGTGAGCGGGACGTGACACGCATCCCGGGCGAACGGCCGAAATGTCGCTCTCGCCTCGGCTCTGCGTTCATTGTTCTAGAGAGTGGAGCTGCCGCTGGGGCGCGGCGCACGTGTTCGGCACGCAGCGTCGCCGACGCACGAGCGGACGAAGATGCAGCATTCGACCCGACTGAGTGGAGCCCTATCGACTTGGCTGAGTTGAGCTTGGCTCCTGCTCTTGCTCCCTTCCCGCACTTGCACCCTCTGGCCCCCTCCCTTCCCCCTCTTCCCCGCCCGCTCCCCCTTCCCCCACCCTGCTCCCCCCCACCCACCCGGGCGTGCCCGCCCCTCCTGCCTGCCTGGTGCTCCCCTCCCGCAGTGGCCGTCCAGCGGTGGCGCCACCCGACTCGCGCCGCTCCCGCCAGGCGCAGGTGCCGCGGGAGGTCCTGCAGTGCCGCCAGGCGCCTTGGCTGTGGCAGCGCGGGCCGCACGCAGCTGGCGTCGGCGTGGAGAAGCTCGGGTTCCGCACCGCCGGGATGCGTCGGCGACGCGGCGCGCGCCTCCAGACCTGTCTGCTCCGACCCCATATGGGAGGCCTGGAGTCTGGGCAGCGTTGGACGTACGGTGGGCGTCACAGACGCAGCGTGCGAGGTGGCGCCACCGGCCCGCTCGTTGCACGCTGTTCAGGAGGGAAAGAAACACACAGACACAATTAATCCTCGAATCCCCAGAAAATATGGGAAAATAGGAGACGTGGGGGGGGGGGAAGACAGAAACCCAGAAAAGATGGGAAAATATGGGGAACCTTTTTATTTGTGTGTATTTATTTGTGTGTCCCAGGGCCCCTTCAGTCTTTGCGACGCCGGCCGTACGTCCAACGCTCCCCAGACTTCAGGGTCCCCACACGGGGTCGGAGCAGGCAGGGCCGGAGCATCGTGCCGCATCACCGATGCGTCGGCGATGCGGAATCCGAAACTCTCCATGCCGGCGGCGCCGATGTATCGCCGACGTCGCCCGTGCATCGCCCCTGCCTCGCCGATCGGCGATTCGGCGCGACCCCCTGATCCCATCTACTTCGACCCAGTTTAGGAGGCCTCTACAGCCTGTGCTCGCACTTGGGGGCTCTCACTTGTCTCACTGAGGAGTCGGATGGGTGCGTCGATGATGAGCCGCGTGCCTGCCCGTTGCCGCCCGTCGCCGCATGCTGCCGCTTGCGTGGGCGCGTCGATACTTCGCCACGTTCCCGCCCGCTCCCGCCCGTTGCCGCTCGTGTGCGTGTGTGAGTCGAGGCTTCGCCACGCTGCCCGTTGCCGCCTGTCGAGCGCTGCCGCATCCGGCGGGGAGGCGCGCAGGCGTCAAACGTGTTGGAACAATGGGGGCGGAGGCTTTTCACCGCTTCCGGCATCTGGTGGTCCTCGCCAGGCCCCGCGACCGTCAACCAAAACGACACTCATTGAGCGCACTCCGCTACTCGCAGAGTGCCTACTCGCAAACGTCCGAAAAACATATGTTTGCTTCGACGAAATTTATCGCAGATCCCCCGCGGCGGATCCAGGAAATTTGCGAGTAGTTACGTTGCGAGTAGTGGAACGCTCTCGTCTTCACACAGGACGACAAGCCGGCCCCTGGGGAACGGGTCGGGACTTCGGGGATTGCAGGGAACAAATCAAGACGCTGGATTCATAGAACTGAAGACAAAACAGTTGCGTAACCATAAGTTTTCAGAGCTCCGCGCGGATTTCCTGGACCGGTGCTGGTCCCCCTTGTCGGCGCCTCTGGCGCCGCCCCTGGCGCGCTCTGCGCCAGGGAGTGGGTTGCAGCGCCCATCCAAGGAACATCCGCGCAGACTTTTGAAAGTCGCGTTCCCGAGGTTTTTTGCTGCTCTGTGCCGGCGCCTGCGCGAACGGCGGCGCTTTCGAGCCCTCGGGGAGGGGAGCAGGTGGAAGTGCACGTCGAGGCCCAGGAATGGGGCACACATTTTCCCAGAGCGCTCGGGAACGCTCTGAGAGCCTTCCAGAGCGCTCTGGGACAGCCGCGGCGCCCGACGCATCCTCCAGCAGCGCGAGGTATCAGAGAGCCCCGGCTTATCCCGATCCAACTTTGTCCCGCTCCTGGCTTCGTTAGAAGAGCGGGTAGAAGTGCACTTCGAGGTTATACATATTCCAACCGTCTTGCACAATCAGCGGTTTCTTGGCCCGGCTTTCCGCCTCGACCGCGCTGAGCGACCGCCAGCGCTGCGACCCGAAAAATTCTCGGGGCTGTTATACTACATGAGCAAAGGAGAGTGCGCATGCGCGTGCGCGCAGGCGCGGGTGCAGAAGCACGGCTGCAGATCCAGAGCCGTGTGCGGCTGTGCACGGGTAGTCAAATACGGTTGCGCATGATGTAGGTGCACATTATGTTGCAGGCGTAATCGAACATTTGTCCAACTATCTCGCATGCATGTGAGCTCCTTGGCGTGGGCGTATATTGTACTGCTACTGAGCTCGGCATGCGCGTCGATTAGTCTTCCGAAGCCCTAAGTTCCTCACTCGTGTGAGAGGACGTTCGATGAGCGCTTGGAGCCGTGACTCAGCTAAGTGCCGCTTGGGAGCGCATGGGAGGATTTCTAGGCCAACCGTAGGGCCAGCCAACGGATCTTGACCATCAGGACACTGACGGTTTGAAAAGTTACAAGTGTGTAGGTGCGAGTGCGAAATGCGTGATCTTTCAGTTGCAGTAGAAGGGGGGTGCACTCTTGCGCGCCCTCGCACAACCACGCTCACTCGCACGCTTGCTCTCTCTCTCTCTCTCTTTCTCAGTCTCTCTCTCGCTCTCTGTTTCTCCGTCTGTCTGTCTGTCTGTCTGAATATGTGTCCGTGTCTGTGTCTGTCTATGTTTCTGTCTCTGTCCTGTGTCTCTGTCCGTGTCTGTGTCTCTGTCTCCGTCGTTTTTTTTTTTTTTTTTTTTTTTTTTTTTTTTTTTTTTTTTTTTTTTTTTTTTTTTTTTTTTTTTTTTTTTTTTTTTTTTTTTTTTTTTTATATATATATATATATATATATATAAAACACATATATATAGATATATGTTTGTACTCTTTGCCTCCGTATTTTTATTTTTATACATAAATTCATATGTACATATATTCATATATACACATATATATTATATTTGTAAATATCTGTATATATAAATGTAGGTGCCTATAGTTTTTCATATAAATGTATATATGTATGTATGCTCGTATGCATGTCTGCATGTATGCATGCATGTATGCATGCATGTGTGCGTAAGTCTGTATGCATGTATGTATGTATGCATGCATGCATGCATGCATGTAGGCATATCGATAGGTAGGTAGGTAGGTAGGTAGGTAGGTACGTACGCATGTTTGTATGCATGTATACATGCATGCACGTATGTATGCATGCATGCATGTATGTGTATGTATAGGTATATCTATATATGTATGTTTCTATGCATGTATGTATGTATGCATTTATGTATGCATGCATGCATGCATGCATACATGCATGTATGTATTTATGTATGCTGGCATGTCTGCGTATATGTATATATGTGTATGCATGCATGTATGTATGCATGCATGCATGTATGTATGTATGCATGCATGTATGTATGTGTGTATGTATTTATGTATGTAGGTATGACTGAATTTTTATGTATGTATGTATGCATGCATGTATGTATGTATCTATGTATGCATGCATGTAAGTATGTATGTATGCATGTATGCATGCATGCATGCATGTATGTATACATATATGTATGCACTTGTGTATGTAATGTAATGTAATGTAATGTACTGTAATGTACTGTACTGTAATATACTGTAATGTACTGTAATGTAATGTACGGTAAGGTAAGGTAAGGTAAGGTAAGGTGATGTAATGTAATGTAATGTAATGTAATGTAATGTACTGTACTGCAATGTAATGTATTGTAACGTAATGTAATGTAATGTAATGTAATGTAATGTATGTATGCATCTATCTCTATATATATATATATATATATATATATATATATATATATATAAGGCGCCATGATTGCAGACCAGAGGCCTCTTGGATGCATGCGCGGATCTCTTAGGAAGCCTTTACGAAGCTTCCTGAAGGCGGTTTTGCAGTGGCTCCAGGGCCACCCGGGGGACTCTTATAGGGGGCCTCTTGGGGCCCACTTCGGGCTTCCTGGGGGACTCCTGCAGCCTGCGGGGGGGGAGTTTCGGGGCTGCTGTCGTTTTTGGGGTCATCTTCGTGCGGAGGGCTCGAGACGTCGCTTCGTGCTCCCCCTCCGAGGCCCTTCGCCGGGCCGTCTTTGGACCCCTTGGTGTCTTCTGGGGCCACCTCAGGCCCCGCTTGGGCCGACTGGGGGCCCTCTTGCGAGCCGCTTGGGCCGTCTTGGTCGGTCGGAAATCTGGAATGGGCGATGACGCCAGAGTGTTAATATGGCCCCATTCCTGCCATCGCCCGCCGCCGCCGCCGACCTTGCCGTGCATTGCCGCTGGCCATCTGCGCGTTGACCGCAGCTGTTTTGGTTGCAAAGGTGAAGAGGCGCTCGCGTCCGCTTCCTTTCTAGGGTCGGGCAATCGTAGCTCCCACTCAACGGGTAACAATGTTGTGTCATGTCATCGTGGGCGTTCCAGCCACTGAGAATAGTGATCCATCATCGAACAAGGCCATCTACATATCTTCCTGTCAGAATCTTAGGATGCTCTTGCAAATCATTCAGATCCTTCCAACAATTACGTTAGATCAATCACATTCGCCCCTTGTGGCTCTCTTGGGGGGCCTGTTTGCGCTCTCTTAGGGCGTCTGGGTGAGCTCTGGGGCCGCCTTGAGCCATGTTGGACATCTTGTGGCTCTTGGGCCAACTCGGGGTCCTCTTGGACCGTCTCGGTGGCCTCTCGGGGCCCTCTTGCCTGTATTTGGGCTCTCCTGGCTCCGAACGAGTGGTTCGGGAACACGCCCTGGCGCGCGGCACCTTCCAACATTTTCTTTTTTGTCCGAGCCCCTTATAGTTTATCGTTGATGACTGTGGGCTATGGAATTCTAGACGCTTCGCGTCTGTGCACCAATCCATCCAGAAACGATGTCCAGGCGAGTTGAGGTGACCAGGGAAATGCGGGAGCACAGAGGGGGACGGCCGAACCGTGCGAAGGAGGGAGGAGTCCGGAGGAGAAGAAGGAGGAGGCTGGATGAATGTATGAGGACTGGGATGGGGAGAAGGAGGATGACTATGATGATGATGATGATGATGATGATGATGTTGTTGTGGTTGATGATGATGAGGAGGAGGTTGTTGTTGATGATGGTGCTGTTGTTGATGATTATGCTGATGAAGATGCTGATGCTGCGGATGATGATGACGATGATGATGATGATGCGGATGGTGATGATGATTAGGGTGGTGGTGGTGATGATGATGGTGCTGCCGATGATGTTGATGATGAAGACGATGAT